AAGTATGCATCACAATCACATAAAATACATTTTCAGAATCAGCATACTCCAAATACAAACATATGCCAAACTCATCCAGTGGTTCAAAAGATAGATCGAAGTCCTTTGTGACCAAATGAAGCATGGCTTTTCTGCCCAAAACCAGTTCCACAGAGTCTTCTATCCTGGAGATAATGGGGAAGTAATCCAATTATCTCCAAGGACAGAAGCAAAACTCCATTGAACACATGGCAGCAAAAGACAATAAAACACATAGAAATATATAACTGTGCAGCCATTGCACAAAACAGGTACATTCAACATATCCCCAGATAGCTCAGATCTGAGCGCACATTATTATTGAATGGCGCTCAGAGCACCCACATACAGTTCAATTACCATGGAGCCAAAGTCTTTCCCATAGTCTTTCATTATACGAATGGGCTCCATGGCATAGCCATCTGGGGTATCACCGCTCAAACAGGGCCAGCACTGAATTACCCGGCTTTCGTGTCTTCGACGGGGAAAATCAAGCGTTTCAACATGGGGCCATAGTCTAAAGGCAGCAGGCGGGCAACCAGGCTTCTCCAGTGCATAGTGGCGAGGTTGGTTCCGCCACACTTCTCCCCTTTACCAATCAGACTAACAGGGTATCTGACCTCCTGCCGGTCAGTACCTTTGTTAGTCCAGCAGCCCACCCACAAAACGCAATCAGTAATACAGCCCACCCACAATAACTGGTTACTACACCTGGGTAGAGGAGAACTTTGTCCGTGTCCAGGTGCCTCACCATGGCTGTGTGGGTGACTGGTAAGCGGACTGGGTGGGTTGCTGAGTGGGCAGAGACCAGCGGTACTCTGTCCTGGTGCCAGCACTACCACGGGAGTAGTCTGGTTGGAGCCTGGTTACTGGAGTGGGAGACCGGCTGTCTCCCCTTTGGCTAAACAGCCCTGTCGCTGGGGGGCAGAACCGACTGTCCCTACCCCCTGTGCTGTAAGTGCAGAGACCACGGTCCCATCTGCACGGTTGTGGGGCTTCTCATCTCCCCTTGGTGAGCTAGGCCGTCGCTGGGAAGTATTCTCCCCTCCTGGTAGAATACTCTGCTGCTGGGGAGCCGGACTGGCTGTCCGTACTCCCTGTAGCTTGGACGCAGAGACCCTGGTCCCATCTGCGTCGGTGGGGAGCTTACTATCTCCCCTTGGGGGGCTACGCTGCCACTGTGGAGAGGAGGCAACAAACTCTTGAAAGCTTGTCTTTGAAATATTATGTTAGTGCAATAAAAAAGGTATCATTGCACACTGCCTGTCACGGCTCCCTGCTCGCCGCCATGTGCGTCTGTGCCCGACTGGCACGACCGCACCAACTCACTGAGCTTACCTGCTCAGCGGCGAGCCGGGAACCGCCCCTTCACACCGCTCCGGGAAATCCAAGATGGCGCCGACCACGCGGTCGCATCCATCCATGGCTCCACCCCCCAAAATTATACGAACGTGCGCGTGATGTCACGACTTCAATGCACGCGCACGTTCTGGGGTCAGAGGTCACCTCTGACCAATCAGAGCCTAGAGACGGATATTTAAATCCCTAATTCACCCCAGTACCTTGCCCTGTCATGGTTTCCTGTTCCTGGTTTCCTGAGAGTGCGTTTTTCCCTGTGATATTGATATTCTGGTATTCTGATCTTGACTATTCCTGGTTATTCTGATTTCTGGTTCCCCTGACTTGGCTTGTTTAAACGGTATTGTGTATTTCTGGCTTCCTTGACCTCGGCTTTCCCTTTGACCATTCTCTATCTCTAACGTATGTCTGGCCATTCTAAGGTCCGGTTTCCGTTCTGTCCTTTTATTTCCTTTCTTATTTCTATGTATCAGTTTACATAGTTTCTGCGTGTTGGACCACACTAGCAGTCGTGACACTGCCATACTCTGGTATTTTGGCATTATATATATATACACTCTTCTACAAATGTACTCAAAGCTGTCACCTCTTTTTATCCCCAACACAATAGCTAAATAAAAGTTATTTTTATACATTCATTTTTTTTCCTTTTGATTTATATCAAATACAGGCTGTCATGCTGCAGTGTGACATAATGTAATCACTGTAATCCCATGGTGCTCTGTTTGCAGACAGTGAGCATGCATGTGTCCAAATACCTGCGTGTATGTGCTTGCATGCTCTTATGAAAAGAAGATTCTCAAATGTAGCTGTAGATTTAGAGTGTGAATGGAAGATGTAGACACTGCTACCCATAAGTGCAGGGAAGAGAAATGTGTTCTATATACAACTTACATTGATTCTGTAGTGTTTACCAATGTGAGCAAAAGTGAACAAAAGACAGACCTCTTTAAGAGCAGTTCTGGTTTCCCAAAACCCAATCCTCTGAGTGGGTAGTCAATAATTGAGTGCCCAGGGGGTAGCCAATGACTGAGTGATCACAAAGTAGCCAATGACTGAGTGCCCCAGGGATAGCCAATGACTGAGTGCCCGAGGGTAGCCAATGACTGAATGAGCATGGGGTAGCCAGTGACTGAGAATACAAGGAGTAGCCGCTGACTGAGTGACCGCGGATAGTCAATAACAGAGTGACCAGGGGGTAGCTAATCCTCAGAAGATGCAGTAATCATAAATATTTATATGTTTTCCCCAAGTCATGCAACTTTAGTAAGGAGATTGGGGGTCTTACATATCCCTTTTCCTGTGCACTTACAATTACCCCAAATGTTCCCCATTGCACATCAGTGTCTACCAATGGTCCATCAATAAAAATAGACTTTCTGTAAAATGGTGCCCATGTGAAACACAGAAGTATTTATGTGCTCTGTATGCCAACTAACCCACCCTCTAATAATTGCTATTGACATTTTCAATAGCAATTTCTTTGCTTCACACACAGTGCAGCATATGCCAGGTAGAGGTATTTAAGTGCCTCTGAAACTCTGCCACAAAAACCCAATTGGGGACTGTTTTCACATTGCGCCATCACATCCTTACCACCACTACTGGAGGTTATTAACTGCATTCACTCCCCTTATAGTAAAAAACAAAATGAACAAACAACCATGATACATTGTCACTACGCTGATCTTTGACCTTTAGATCTGAACCTCTCTTTTTTTATTTTCTGTGTTTGTCATTAGTCATCCGAAGAAAGAATCTTTTGAGCTGAAATAGTGAATCTCTATCTTCAATTACACATTAAATCTAAACGGAAACATCGTAAAGTCTGCTAAGTCTGTTTATCGTTTGACGACAGAATATTGATGGCGTCTTTATTACACATCTGATTAGAAATGAAGCCATGCATTTACCCACCAGTCAGACAGGAGTCTTCTGATTGTGATGTCACCGTTTTAATTAAGCATCTATCCCCCCGGCAGTGGAGAGGTTAATAACGATTTTGTGTCCGGCTTTGACAGATACAGAATAATCTTGCGGTGCTGGTGAGTTTCTTCCATTATGGGGCTGTGCGATGCGGCTGACATTACGGCGCAGGTTATAGGAGTTTGGGAGCCGCTCTGTTTATTGCTTCTGTCTATTTGAGGATAGATTATAACCATTACAACGTATTCGACTCGGCCAAGAGAGCGCCGTTTTCGTTTTCTGCCAAACTCGCAATTAGTGTTCCGCACGATCTCTGATTTCAGCTGGACGAGACACACCAATAAAATACAACTCGGGATGATAAAAATCAATTTTTACTTTGGGTAACGAGAACATCAGGGCTGTTAATTATGATTCCTCATTTCAACTGCAAAGAGAAAAATCCATCCCATGCAGATTATTGATTCTAGCACACATTCTGCCGCCTGTTCGTTCGTTACTCCTCTCTATTTATTTTATTTTATTTGTTAATTAGACGCTTCTTGATCTTCTCGTGTCGTCCACCATGCTCCAGATTGGAAATGATAAATAGAGAACCTCACTTAGTTTGTTACCCCAGTTGTCCTGTAACTTTGCAACACAACCAGGCCATAACAATGCAAATTCAATTTGCAGGCATGCACAGGTTCTCACAGCACGTTCTGTCTGTCCATCTCGCATTTCTATCACATTTTTAGCCTCTTCCTAGACCTGTGTAGATCCAATGTCAGGAATGTGATTAATAGGGGGTTATTTTAATGTTTAACAGTCATAGAAGTCACTGTTCACCTGCTTTTCATTATAATATTTAAAACACTGCTCAGTGCATAGTGTTAGCTTCTGGTTAATTAAAAACATAATTAACTTTTTTTTAAGATCTAGTACTCAGTACTTTGTCTTTGCATGGTTGGAAGTACTGAGTGCTCTTTTCTGAATTGCAGTATTCTGCTTACAGATAGATACACAGGTACACATACAGACACACATTTAGATGCCCAGACATGCATATAGACACATCGATACACAGACACACAATGTAAGCACATATGATATACAATGACACACACAAACACACTGATACACATATACACAAATATAAACACATCGATTCACATGCAGATACAGGCACACACTGACACACATCCAGATACACAGACACACAGATACACACTGACAATTGTAGATAGACGGTCATACATGCAGATACACAAACAAACAGGTGCACACACTGACACAGTTGTAGATACACAGACATGCACACTAATACACATATAAATACACAGGCAAACAGATACACACTGACATACACGCAGATACACACAATGACACTCATACAAATACACACATACTGATACGCAGACATACATACCAACACAGCTGTATACAAAGACACACCTACAGACATACAGATACAGTGACACACATACAGACACAACACATACACACAAACAAATACACAGATAGACACACAGATACAGTGGCACACATACAGATACACAGATAGACGTATAGACAGATACACAGATAGATACACAGACACACATACAAGAACACAGATAGATGTATAGACACAGATAGATATACAGACAGACACACATGCAAAATGTACCCATGTTTAGCCACTCTGCTTTTTCCTACCTTTTAGGTGCAGTAGGGTTGCTTCCATAGGGTCCAGCTGCTGTTGGGAGTCAGAGGCACTCCCGGACCATTCCCCCTCCTCTCTGCTTCTCCCTCCAGTGGGCTTAGTCTGTTAGCTGGGAAAAGTGACATGCTCTTACTTCCTCCAAGTACTGGCTGCCATTATTAAAGGGCCCCTGAACACACATGCCCATCAAGTGGCCACCCATTGGGCCCCCTCAGCTTCAAGGCCCCAGTGCAGTAACACCGGCAGTAGTTCTGCCTGTCCAGTATGCACATTCCTTTGAAAAAAACAGGGTCAGTTAATTTTTACTTTTCCTTTTTAAAAGAATCAAGCATATCGAATAAGCAGAAAGCCAGTCCGGGTGGATTTCGGTAGGTCAAATAGAAGTTTAGAGCGTCTTAGAAGTGAATAGTAAGAGTAGTGCTAACACAGCGTTGCTAAAGTAGGCACAAAGTAGCAGTTCTATTTAAGGAGTAGCTGGAGAGCCACCAGTGTCCCTTTTAAAGAAACATACATACATTTCATTTTTAAAGAGACATAAAGATAAATTTATAACACAGACACCACGGCTAAATAGTGCAGATCCGGTCAGGTTGGCTGAATTCTGACCAGAATACATTTTAGAAAATATGAGAATTGCAATTTTTGGTGGAATGTGGCGATTTTCACTCATTTATGCCCATTTGGACATAATCCTGTGTGTAGTGGATTGTCCTGTGATATGCTGCAAACCGTGAACAGTACTGGTTAATGAATATTAGTCCACTGATAATAACAGTTAAGCTTTTTGTCTGCAAAATTTGAATCATGATGGAGGTGCTGAATTGAGACCTAAGTCACTACTCCCGAGATAGCAGCTAAGCAGGTTTAAATGAATCTTCAAATATAAAAGGAAGGGTTTTTTTTTCCTTTTAAATTGCTCCATTTGTACATACATTTAAAATGTATTTTCATTTCTCTCTGCCGCTTTCATGTGATGCTCTGTACTGATTAGCGCCACAACCTTTACCAAGGCCTGCTCATCATAAGATTTACTCTATTTGCAATTTTCTCCAGCACCAATGGCGTTAACCTAAGCCTGTCTCTTTTAACTAATGATTCAGCTGGTAAAACTTAGGATCCTGAATGCTATAGAAATGTCAGCGTGATTCGTGTTTGGACGCAGCAGGTGCGGCTTGGAGAATGACAGGTACGGTGCGTACACTTTGTATAATTTGTGTAGCGCAGGAAATATGCCGAGACCCGCAAGCTTCCAGGTGCTCTGGCTTGTGACCTGCTGAGGCTCTTTATTCCATGGATAAAGACTAATTATTAATCTCTGACACATCACAGGGGAGTCTCTACTATGTCAAATAAATCTTGCCCACAGCAGAAAAAACATTAGTATTCAGGAGTCACAGAAACAACAAAACTAACTGAAAAAATGATTAACTCCCTCAAGTCCCATGCCACAAAAATGTCATATATTTTCTGATATTGTTAAACTTGTCTCCTATTTTATATGGAATAATGGAAGCTTGATGGAGAGATATCATGTCTGAATTTTGAGATACACTCTTAACTCATCTTGAAGTGTGTTAACAGGAGCTTGTCTGTCATTTCTCATCTTGTCCATCTGTAGACTTGTATGCCTTAGATTATGGGATAAACACACAGAAAGTGTTGACACGGAACCTCACGTATCCCACATGAGTATCTTAAATCCTGAGTCCCATTGATCTCACATTCATGAGTCATCCATAGATAGAATAACCAGCAAACATTCCACACCAAACTCTGGGCCATGGGTACGTTCTTATGTGAAAAGGTGGGCCAGGCTTTCTAAACAGTGTATGACTTGTTTACATACCAATTTAGTACCCATAAGCTGGAGAGAGAGCATACCGTATGGGGTTATCCATTAAAATGTGAATTGTCAGGGGTTCAAAGTAAATTATAAATATTTAGCCAAACTTGAAAAATCCCACAAGTCACTATGTTTTCAGTTCGACTAATCTGGTCTAAAACGTGAAACTCACCTTGCATTTACTATGTTTCCCTAACAGTTCACACAATTGCGCATAACCCTGTAATAAGCAATAACAGAGGACGACCAATTCAATGCTCTTTGAGAAAAATACATTAAATTCACAGTTAAAGAGTGTGAAAAACACGGAACAGCTTCCCAGTGGTAGTGGTAAGGGCTAAGTGGTATAAGTGGGCCAGTGATTTATGACATTTGCTCAAACCACACACATTCCGACTTCCATTTGTGTGAGCATCCAGTGTTAGGTAAATTATGCCCCATCGTAATTAATGAAGAATGTGTTTCAGCAGGGATGATGAAAGGGGGGATGAGTCCTTTATAGCGGATGCTGCTCCATGTGTGCAAACCATTAAACCATTACCGTTTCTGAATTCATAACAAATATCCCAAATATATCATCAGGTATATAGAATTGAACACGCGTACCCTTCAGAGAGCAGCACACAGCAAAGTGTTTTTGCTAAATTATTTGTGAGATTTGTTTTTGGTTTTTTTCTCAGCACTATTTAATAATGGAATTTGAAATGAACAATAAAAATCTAAGTGCAATCCTGTTTTATACACTGCCTGAGATATTTCATCTTTATATATAGCAGTAATATTATAGTTGTGCACAAATGCAATATTTGGGCAATGTCATAGAATATTCATTCTAAAGCAGGTCACAAAAGGATGTAATGACACTACACAGCAGGTCTGAAACAAAATGTAGGCAACTGGTAGATGTTCAGTCTGCAGCCTCTCCAATGATATATTACTGCAACAGGAGCTGATTGTTTAATAGTAACTAATCAGACTGCCCTGTCCGATCTGTTCACAGTACTGAATTAAGACATCACCAGGTATTTTTGTAGGAACAGTGCATTTTTGCTGCATCCTTGCAAAGTAGAAACTGGATTGAATTGTTTTTTTTTTCACAAGACATTATTATTATTATTGCCTTTTATATATATATTTATATATATGTATATATAGTGCCAACAGATTCCGTAGCGCTTGACATGGATGCTGAATAGTCATTGCACTCTTCACAAACCGCATCAATCAAGATGGTGAACTTCATAAATGGACAGAATATGCTACCAGATACTAAGCATGTTGGAAGATAATCTCCCATTATAATGGTATATTAGATGCTCCATGGAATAGACACTCTAATTATAAGGCTAGATTGCAAGCTCCTTGGAAGAGAATCTCCCATTATAATGGTAGATTAAATGCTCCATGGGATAGACATGCTAATTATATGGCTATCTCCCATTATAGTGCTAGATTAGATGTTCCGTGGAATAGACACTATAATTATATGGCTAGATTGCAAGCTCCTTGGAAGAGAATCTGCTCTTGTAGGGCGAGAAACTTCCTGCAGGTTAGAAGCTTTACAGTACAGGTTCTCCCATTATATTTCAAGGTTAGAAGCTTTACAGTACAGGTTCTCCCATTATATTTCAAGGTTAGAAGCTTTACAGTACAGGTTCTCCCATTATATTTCAAGGTTAGAAGCTTTACAGTACAGGTTCTCCCATTATATTTCAAGGTTAGAAGCTTTACAGTACAGGTTCTCCCATTATATTTCAAGGTTAGAAGCTTTACAGTACAGGTTCTCCCATTATATTTCAAGGTTAGAAGCTTTACAGTACAGGTTCTCCCATTATATTTCAAGGTTAGAAGCTTTACAGTACAGGTTCTTCCATTATAATGCAATATTGGAACCTCGTTGGTGCAGTGTGTCCCATTTTACCACAATATTAGAAGTACCTTGTTGCAGGACCTGTGTTTAATATTATTGTGAGATTAGAAGGTCCCTTGCACATGGTCTTTCTATAAATCCCTTAATGAGAAGCTCCTTGGTAGAGTGTCTCCAATAACATATGCACAGTAGAGAAGCTCGTTTGTACAGTATCTCTCATTACATCCCTTGATCTCCTCGGCACACAAGCTCCCAGTATAATCCTCGATGGAAGCTCCTTTGCTCATGATCTCCCATTATATAACTACGTAAAAATATCTTGGTACTGGGTCCCCCATTTTATTACTAAATTGGCATTTTCGTCTCATTATTTCCCTAAACGAAAATATCTGTGGCACAGGGTTTACCTTCTTACACTGTATTTCTATGTTATTCTTCAGGTTTTCTCCTAGTCTGCAGTATAAGATTGTGTTTTATAACTAAAACAATGCTGTGTTGCCTTGTCTACAACACCACTCATCCTGCATTATACCTACTGGGCTTTAGAATATAGCAAGTCTTGCAGGTGTTTGCTTCTTCACTCTGTTCTCTATGATGGGGGAAGAGGTTTTACATGGCATCTATAGCAGGCAGTTTGTTGGCATCCTGCAGATAATCGTTTTCTGTCACCTTCCGTGACCTCAGTGCCTGAGGAGATATGAGTAAGTGCCGGACTCCTCCGCTCTACTTTATGATGGAAAATGTCCACCGCACGCTATACTATCGTCTCCCATATTTATTTGTTCACACGCGGCCTATATTACCTTCATAAAACCTTTTCTAGACCAAAGCAGCTTTTAGTGTCCACAGCAGAGATCCTACAAACAGCAATATCCTGGGGAGATTTGTGGCCTCTCCTCCACGCCTCGCTGCTCCTCAGCTTATTTTATCGGAGAAAGAAAAAGAATATGTAAAATAGTCTTCCCCTTGCAATACGCCACCATAAAGCTAAACAAAGCGAGGTTAGGGCCCTGCTGTAACTTCATCTTTTACTGAACACCACTCATCAATTTGGGACGTTTGTTAAAAAACAAAAAAAGGCTTTATTTCCACGAGAGAGGCCAAATGTAGAAATGTCAGCCTCACTCCCCCCTCTCAGCTCAGGTCTTGTTATTGAAAGCTGTTTATGAAAGGATTTAAGATTATTTCTTAAGATGCTCCTTCAGTTGCAGAGTAAAAGCCTCAATCCATTTTCTTACCAAGGCTTCAGATGAATATCTCATTTTTCCAACATCTCTTTTGCTATTATTATCAGCTTTTTATCCTCCGGTAGAAAACGCAGGAACAGAGAAGCTGACATACGCTCCCATAATCTACTTATTTTATTTCATTATTTTTTTTGACTGTATTTTTATTTTGGGGTATCTATGATCTTGCTGTACGAGGATCAGGAGGTACCATTTATTGGCAAAGGATTATCCCACGGGAAAAAAAATAAAGTCACAAATTCTGTGATCTCTTGATATTAACCTACATTGAAAGACGTTGTACGTCGGTGCAGTTTATTGTGATGTTAATGTTGCTGATGAGGTTTGGAGTAATATTTATCATACTGATGCCAACATTAATAAAAAACACATCTCTGTGGGTTTATGTGTTATAGAAAGGACTTGATGGATGGGCAGAATAGGTTATTACTCTGCCTTTTTTACGATTATGAAACTTGGTACTTGATGAAAAAAAAAATACTCAGCGTGCTTCTGGT